TTTTTGGGAATGAGGAACATCCCACATACTGTGATCAGAGTCAAGTTGAACCAAGCACCAGTGTGGGTTTGTAGGTTCTCCATGGATGGTGTAGATTTTGTGCCAGAGTCATTCGTGTACCACTTCTACCATTGTTGCCTTGTCCATGTGCCAAGTATACTTTATTTAACTTAAAATTTTTCTTTGGATGGGCTCACTTTTTAAAATGTACACTCATCCTTAAGAATAATCTCTTAAGTCAGGGGCTAGATTTTGCTACTTCTATTTTTTTCTATTCCATATTGGAATGAGTATATAACTGCCAAACTTTTAAATATTCCCTAAAATCATCTGCATATGCCATCAGTGTTATGCCATCTTTGCTTTCTTTACTAGGTAAGTTTGTGGTAATTTGTTTTCCTTGCTACACTAAGCCAAGAGTAAATTAAACTATGTTGTATTTCATTACTATGTTAATTATATGAAGATAAGTTTAATGTTTGATGTTAATATTCTCAGCTATAAAGTAGCAAAGTATTCTGAGAATTACTTTACCTCAGAATATTTGCCAGTAGTATCCCCTCTTAGTGATGTTCCAAAAGATGATTTTTTCCTAAGATTTATCAGTTTTCTAAGATTTATGAGACTTGTACTCTTAATCATTTGAAAAAGTTTTAGAGTGATGTTTGATTTATAAAGTACTTTTGTGAGTGAGATGGAAGATTTTCGAGGTATAGCAGAAGAGTCATTTCCAAGCTTTTTAACCAGTTCAGTGCTTGGTAATACTGGGATTTTGGAAAATGTCACTCTGTCTTCAAATCTTGGCTTGCCTGTTGCTGTTTCCACACTTGATCGAGATAGGTCCAGCACTGATAATAGGTAAGATATGTTTGGACCGATTTTTTTCTTTTAGATCTATAAAACCTACAACATACTTGATATTTACATAAAACTTCTCAGTTAAACTTGAGCTTTTTGCTCGAGATGGCCAAATATGAAAAATGAATATAGAAAAAGATAGAACTTACTATCTTATTCCTTGTTTCATTGCCTTATCAGTGGGTGGGATTGGGATTTGAGCACTAGTGACCATTTTTGGTCCACTAATTGCTTTTTCTGTCTGCAGATTTTTGGATTTGTATTAGTTTATCCTTATAAGCAGCTGGTAATATAAACCAATTTGTTAATGAAGTTCAAAAGGGGAATTAACCATAAGAGTGTGGGAGTATCTGCTGAAATCAAGGGCAGGAATGCAGAACTGTGCCACAAGAAGGGACAGCAGTTGGGATCTGGGAAGTGACTAGGACTCGGGTTTCTGTTTTCCCACTATACTTATCTCTGTGTAACTCTTTCATTCTCCTCCTCCTTTTAATACACTTGTTTTATCTGCTTTTCTGTATTATATTGCATGTCTTTGCCAAATATGCTGTCTTTCTTCTAACTACTACTTCTACCTCTGTATTTTTTTTGCATTGTTTCATTTTATTCCTCTAACTTCTTGATCATCTGGAATACAGTGATAAAATAACTGACTGTGTGCTCGTTTACTGATTCTATCACCTGTGTTATTTCTGGGTCAGTTTCAATTGATTTTTCTACTTATTATGTGTCACATTTTCCTGCTTCTTTCTGTGCCTGGTAATTTTGGACTGGATACCAGACATTGTGAATTTTACTTTCATGGGTGCAGGATACTTTTGTATTCCTGTAAGTATCTTGAATTTTGTTCTGTGGTAAAGTTTTTTGGAACTGTTTGATCCCTCAGTTGTTGCTTTGTTAAGCAGGACCACATCTGTCTTTAACCTAGAGACAATTTTGTCCCAGTTACTGAGTCAAAACCCTCCTGGGTTCTCTATTCAGTGGTAAAAGGAACTAATAACTTTGATTATTGTTTATCAACCTGAGGACAGGTTGATGTGTGGAACATCCCTTATGCAACAAGTGTTCTACTCGTTGCTGTGTCTGAGATAAAGATGACTGTGCTCCAACTGTGGGGCTTTAAATCAAGGGAAGGGCAGTGAGCACATGAGCAGGGCCAAGGCAGGCACCTGCTTGAATGACCACAGGCACTTAACGTGTCAGGGGCTGTAAGGTACTAAGCACCAGTACCAGAGAGGAAGAGCCACATTTGGGACCATCCCAGAGGTGGTATTTTAACTTGTATTTATGCTTGAAGGAGAATTGAAATGCAAATGTTTTTCCTTAATTTTAACTTTCCAAAGTCTGTCTGTTCAAATCCGTAGGTTATAGCAGTCAACAAATGATTTGATATAGCAAACAATATATAAGTATGTGTGTTTCATGAGCCCCACTATAAAAAGATTTAGAACCAAAAACCTTTTAGCCCTTTCCAGATTAAATGTCATTTTTTAAAAGTTACTCCTTTGAGGGGGCTTGGCTGCTTTTAAGTACAAGGTGACTTAAGACTTATTCAGATGCTTCTCTGTGTCTGCTCCAGTCGTGTTGGACACAATAACGTGAGGTTGTGACCTGTGTCCACATCCTAATTGCCACTGTCTGTTTGTCTCAGGAATCCTGGCTTGCATCCCTTTCTGTTAATCTTCAACAGCTGTCATCTTTCCTTCCTCTTCTGCCAGGGACAGTAGGGATAGGGATTATGGAACTCAAGTAGCCATTCTGAGTGCTGCTATAAATTACAGATAGAAAAACAGACTATGTCCCTGTCTTTAATAAATTTACTGAGCGTGATTACAAAAACGTATACGTGATGAGCCACCAGGCTCCTGACACTGTAATGTAAAAAAAATACCCTTCACTCTTGATCTGTGTGAGAGAACCAGTTGGTTACACTCCAACAGTGTTATGTAACCAGGGACAAGGTATCTGCAGTTGTCCACCCTCTAAAATAACTTTGTTGATAAGATAGTCTGTTTCATGAAGAGACATGGGGAGCAGAATTAGAACAGGCGGTACAAATATGGCAAAATAATGGTCATATTTTGTTGCTTTTAGCTTTAGCGAGAACCAAGACCTTTCCCAAAGCTCAAAATCCTTCAAAAAGTTGAGACCATCGATGATTTCAAAGCTGAAGACTTTCCCATTGAAGGGTAAGATCCTCACCCAGCAATCAAAATGGAAATGGCTGTTTAGAGTGCTTTCGAAGGAGCTGTTTGAAGGATATTGCCCGACTTTAGAGGGCGGACTGAATGCCCAGGTGGAAGTGCTTTTTGCTCTAAAGGAAGAAGGAACTAGGTCAAAAATCCATCAGTGACCTATCAGTTGTTATTTTTTTATTTTAATTTTTATTTTTTTTGGCCAGACGGGATCGCAACCCTGGGCACAGTATGGTCGGCACTACACTCAGCCAGTGAGCATACCGGCCATCCCTATATAGGATCCGAACCCACGGCCTTGGCGCTACCAGCGCCACACTCTCCTGAAATGAGCCACGGGGCCGGCCCTATCAGTTATTACTAATTTTTAAGGATATTGCCCTTGGCAAACAGAACTGTGATGGTTCTTTTAGTAATAAAAGGCCTTGAGTTTGATTAATCCACTGAGGTTGTATGAAAATGAGATTATGAATAAAGTGAGGAGAAAAAATGAATACACTTGAAAACATACATGCATTTCAGCCCCACATTTCTGTGATGGTTGGTGAGTTTAAAGAATTACGTGTTACGGGGCCGGCCCGGTGGCGCACTGCTACAGTGCGCCGCTTGGGAAGCGCGGCGGCGCTCCCGCCGAGGGTTCGGATCCCACATACAGACCGGCCGCTCACTGGCTGAGCAAGGAGCGGGGGCAACACCGAGGGTTGCGATCCCATTGCCGGTCCCGGTCCGGTACGGGCGCAACACTGAGGGTTGCGATCCGTTGCCGGTCATCATGAAAAAAAAAAAAAAAAAAAAAAAAAAAAAAGAATTATGTGTTATAGCTGTTGTATATTGCTGTAATAAAGAAGTGTTCTGCATTTGTCTATGTATTTTTCATTCCATGTTGCTGCTTATCTGCTTGGTTCCTGCCTAATATAGAGTTAACCTAACCCTCCTAAGTAATCTGCTGTATTCTTGTTTGGATGCTACTTAAAGGGTTAGAGTAGTTTTTATAAATGCTGATTAAACTATATTTTGCCCTATTTTTCTGTCATTGTCAGGTTAGGGCCATAAGCTACGCTAATTGCTGGTTGGGGTTATTGTAGGACTCCTGCTGATGTAGCCAGTTGTAAAGTTACATGACTACACCAATTGTAAAGCTACGTGGCTACACCAAATGTATGGCTAGGCAATCCACAACTAAGCCAAAACGTTTCATTATTTTAGTTATGCTAAGTTTCCATTTGTATTTTCAGGGCTAGGGCTCACACCCTTCAAACCCATTGTACAGTTTGGGTCACCAGACCCCTCACACGCAGGCCCATGCTAGATCATTGGGAAAAGATCCCAGGACCCGTTGGCAGACAACATGAGCTCAGTCCTCAGCTTCAGAAGCAGCAGCGGCTTACAGATCCAGCAGTGGTCTCCCATGGCCCCCCAGGGCCATCCCAGGAGTGGAGGTCACTGTGGATCAGAGCCACTCATCCTTTATACTTAAGTCCATAACCCAGGGCACCTGGGTGCACATGCGCAGTTACATTAGACAATAAGGAAGGAACACCTGGGCGCAAGTGCAGATTTATATCAAACACTCGGCAAGATTCTGAACATCTGAGGGGCCCTGACCATTTTCCTTCACTTTCCCTACAATCAATCATCCCATTCTAATGCATTTTATCATTAAAACATCGTGACCATTTAGGAATTTTTTTAAGGGTTGTAAAAAGAAAACTAAAAATACCATTTTGCCTTCACTGGTTTCAGTGTGGTGTGAATTCTCTAATAATATGCTTAGACTGGGCAAGAAAGGAGATGCTGAACTACTTCAGGGCTAATCAGTGAAATCTTCCCTTTCTTGCATAGCAGATACCCCCTGGTGCTGCAGAACTATTTTTTATTTTTTATTTTTAATTTATGGCAAGTTAAATAGAATAGGAAAATTTTCCAACAAATTATGCAATACGCTGCTTATTTTCAAAGTACAGTTTAATGTCTAGTTACCAGCACTTGATAGAAATTTTGTGAGAACACCTTCCTAGGCTTTGGGTTAGTTAAATCTAAATTTAAAGATTAAATAGGAAAATGTACATTGATTTGCTAAAAGAATCAAGTAATAATGATTACTGAACTGATTCCTTAGGTTAATATGACTTTCAGCTGAACTCATCATGATTGGTAGGATTTTTTTTTTCCTTCTATTTTTGTGAAACCATATCCAAGAAATTTTAAGCCTTTTCATTTAAAAAAGAAAAGCGTAAGGGCTGAACACTTAATTTTCTTGAGCGGCATGGAGTTTCTTCCAGACTTCACCATCTGGATACTGGTGTTTCTTTACAGATTCCTCCTTCATTTCTGTTGAATAGCCAGCATCCTATCAAAACAAAAAGTTTAGTGTTAATAACCACCTGGAACAAAAACATGTTTTAGGTATTTCTGCTGCTCCAAGAAATGCTTTTAAATCGAGGCCAGAGGAACTGGAGTAATATTTTAAAAATAAGTTTCAGATTGAAATGTGTCAGAGGGGCACACATTACTGGCGACTTGCCAGGATTAGTTAACTAAGCTAATCAAACTTCCTTTGATAGCTCAACTGCTGTGGGTGAAAATGAGCCATGATCTCTTGAACATGATCCGGATAAATGGTCCAGATAACACAATTGCAGTCAAAACCTAACTCACTAGATAGTGCCAGGTGTTTCTGCACAAGGAGCATGTGTTTTAAAATCTCAGCTATTGAGGAAAGGCTAACATTAGAGAAGCCTTGTCAGGGACAACTTACCTCCAATCCCTGAGCATACTGAATGACTAAAGAGCCATCTGTTTCTAGACACTGAAAATAAACTCTAAGGAGTCAAAACTCAGTGCCCCATGGTCTAGTTCACAGAATGGGTGCAGGAGTGGCTGGCAGCATTTCCTCTGCGAGGCCTCTTGGCCACAGCTCACCTTGGGAGGCATGTAGGAAGCCTGCCTGATCATCACAGGATACTTGAAATGTTCATGCAGGTGGCTGACATATTCACACATCCTGGGGGAAGGAATGAGACGGGGGGCAGTAATGCCTGAAGTTAGACTGATCATCACAGGATACTTGAAATGTTCATGCAGGTGGTTGACATATTCACACATCCTGGGGGAAGGAATGAGACGGGGGGCAGTAATGCCTGAAGTTAGATGACTCATGTGGTTCCATCTGCTGAAGCAGAGGGGAGGGCACCACAGTGAGAAACGGTGGGCTCGGTCAAGGCTGAGCTGTGACATCCTGTGTTTCCACGTAAATCCCTTAACCTCTGTGCCTCAGGTGCTTTCCATCTGTACAATACAGCAATGTGGAGGCTTCGATGGAATAAGCCAAGAAATCCCTTGTAACCCTGAAGGTTTTGTGATGTCTAAAAGGCATCAATTCAGGGCCGGCCCGGTGGCGCACTGGAGAGTGTGCCGCTTGGGAGCACGGCGGCACTCCAACCAAGGGTTCGGATCCCATGTGGAGGCCGGTTCCCGCTCACTGGCTGAGCGCGGTGCGGGCGCAACACCAAGGGTTGCGATCCCGTTGCCGGTCAGTAAAAAAAAAAAAAAAAGACAAAAAGGAAAAAAAAATTTTAAAGGCATCAATTCAGACTCCGTAAGTATTTGGGATTATTTAAGTGCCTTTTGCCAAAAGTTAGATGAACAGATTAAAACCACTAAGTGAGGTTCCTTCCAGGTACACAAATGATTTAAATGAAGAGCACAGGTTCTAGAATCAGACCGATCTCTGTTCAGGTTCTGTGTCAACCACCTTCTAGTTTTGTGGCAGGGACAGGTGGCCTAACCCTGCTGCCTTACTTTAGTCACCTGTTAAAGAACAGCAGCAACAGGCACGCCTGGTGCCGAGGATACACAAAGGCATGGGCAACAGAGGCGCTCCTGGTTTCAGTGGACACGGGCACTAAGTCATCGACTCCAATCTGTTGTCTAATCTCTAGAGGATGGCACGGAGGAGAGGGCAGTCGGGCCTTGAAAGAGGAACGGGCATTCCACACAGGATTGCAAAGCAAAGCGCTGAGGTGTGGCGGCTTTCCCTGCACAGGGCCATTCCCAAGCAGGGAAGCCTGCAAGAGGCACTATCTCCCCTCAGTGGGTGTCCAGGGACATGGTGTGCTGAGGTGCAGGGGTGACCCTCCTCATGCCTCAAGACTCCAAGGACCCTTCGAGGTTGATCAGAACCTCTCCCTTTGTCCCAAAGGCAGGAATTGCATGAGGGAGGGCAAAAGCAGAACTGAGGAATGTTAACTTTCTTCGCTACAGATCCAGAATATTAGTTGGAAGGGAAAGAAAAATGACCTAGTCCCAACCTTCATTTTCCAGATGAACGAACTGAGGTTCAGACTTGTGTGAAGTCGGGCCTTGAAAGAGGAACGGGCATTCCACACAGGATTGCAAAGCAAAGCGCTGAGGTGTGGTGGCTTTCCCTGCACAGGGCCATTCCCAAGCAGGGAAGCCTGCAAGAGGCACTATCTCCCCT